GCTCGACTGATCGCGCGGGACCGTCCACGGCGGCACCCATAGCTAGCGCGACCTCCTCGACCGATCGAGCGACCAGTGGCGCGATCAGTCGAGCGACCAGTCGCGCGACCGGTCGTGGACTATGAAAGATGCCTATCCTCGAACGAGTTTCATCGGCATTATAGAGGCTGCACCGATCACAAAGGAACCCATGAAGGAAGTTCAAACAACTTGTCATGACCCACAGCGACAGTGAATGACAGTTCTGTACAGTTCTGGCTTGATATAGTCAGCTCTTTGCCCAAGTGCAACAACCAAAATCTCGTCCGAATACCCCTTCCATGTTATTTCCGTCATGGCAATCTCTTCCAACCTCTATTTTTCCTACTTTCGAGGAGCCATATTTTTCTCGAAATCGGCGAATTCTCTCGCTTTCTTCACTACCGATGAGCTATTCTCATCTATATTTCCGCTCTTTGATTGAAAACGAGCACCTCAAAATTATCGTGAACTGTGCCTTTAAACTATACTTTTGCAATAAAAGAATTCCAGATTCCTAGCAAAAATGCTGTTCTCAACTTCCGCGCATCACTCAGCTCGCGATTTGGCATTGACCAGCACAAATTTATCTCGTGGCTATCACTCGGGTTTAGGTCTCTATGGTTCAATTTGAAATTGAATACTATCAGAAAATTGGCTGGCTACTGCTTATCGTGAAGCACTTTTATTGGGGATGCTTGCCTTACGCTTCTCCTCCCTTCCAATCACCAAAGTTCTGCAGGCTTTTTTGCTGCAAGTGGTCCACGGATTTGAAGTGTTTGGGCTTGATATTGATTCGAACAATGAATGCTTCTGTAAAGGTATCTGTGGGAATGGAGTAGATGTTGATGCTTCGAGTACAGTTCTATATGATCGAATTCACTGCCCCTACGCAACGGTTGATGTTTCAGGATGATACCATCTGTCCATCGGATGAGCGTTCAATTGAAGTGATCGAAACTATGATCAATCAGGTCGGTGAAGGATCGTTTTGGTCCTTTTTTCTCAATTTTTGTCTTCCCTCCACATTATTGTCTGTAGATCCGTACTCTTCACCCACATTCAAAACGAATACACGTTGGTGCTGATGAAGCGTACCATATCGCCGAAGACGATAGGTGCCGCACTCGTCTGACCCGAATGGATTTGGGCGATCCAAGTAGAGCCATAGAAAAGTTGAAACTTACTCATATAGCCAAGTGAGTTCTGACGTTCCCATACGCCAATCATTTTTCTAAGGAGGTTCAATTTCTAATTTTCAGGGTCGCCCGTCTTGCAAAGAGTGCCGGTTTCAAAGAGGTTTTTGCTTGGAACGATATGTTCGATAAGTCACTGGTGGAAGATATGCGTGCAGCTGGATTGGGAGATTTAATAACTCCAGTTGTATGGGGGTATAAAACTGATGTTACTGAAGAAGGCTATTTCCCACCAGGACTGTTTGAAAGATTGTCACAGGTAATTTATAGACCTCATGGAGGAAAGAAGCTCAGGATATCAAGTTTTCCGAACAAAAGTCTTGCTATGATGTTAAATATTTCTTTGCCTTTCCGATTTACATCTTCGAATCTCTTTTGAATAAAATTTTCCTTTTTTTTTGAACGGTTTTGTTGTTTTTGAGAGCTACTTGTTTGAATTCCTTGTAATTTACCTAAATCAATGGATAGTTTTTTAGGTCTTCCCTGCCATCTACTTTGCAAGCGCCTTCAAAGGAGCCCGTTCTAAAGGTGAAAACTTCATCGACCTCGATCGATATTTGCGAAATCATATGTCCTATGTGAAGCTATATAGAGATCATAAAGATGTAGGTCTCTTTCTCTGTTTTTGGTTGGCTCTCTCCTTACGCTGCGCGGCCGCTCGCGTCTGTTCATGAACCAAGGCTGCATTGCCTTTGTTCGGGAAGTATGCATATTTTACAGAGTATCAGTGGGCGCGTTGGAGGTATAATTCTTACGGGATGGCAACGTTACATGCATCATGCACCATTATGCGAACTGTTGGCAATCTCAACTCCATCGTTAGTCACTGATCTTGTATATATTCAAGATGTTACACGTGATCGAAATGAGATGTGGAGCTATGTAAGGGTACGTGATTTTTAATTTATACTTTATTTCGAGTTGTTTCGGCTTGAATCCTCGTTGTAGTTCCTTTTTGTGTTTCCTTACACTTTTTTTTGATATTTTCTATTTCTTTTGTCCTTTTGTCCTTTTTGTCCACTAGCCTTAATCCACATCTTGAGAGATAGAAAACACTAAGAACACGAAAAAAATCGCTGGCGCTATTCATAGCTGTCGACTTTCACCAACCGAGAGCCACTGGGTTCAAACATCATCAAACAATGTCGGAAAACGATGGACTGAAAGCATAGAGCAGAAAATGATAATTCTAGTTGACAGCTTCACGGAAAAATTGTTAAATCTCGATTTTTTTGAATTTTTCAACAGATTCGGTGTCACGTCCGTTTGTAGTTCCTGAATGTTAAGAGCCCTGGCGTTTTACCCGCGAATATTGCTCAGATGTCAAGGGTAGACGTACTACTTCTTTTTTCAGCGACAAGCTTTCTTGAAAGCCCTTCGGGTTTTCTTCTCGTTTTTGTCTCTGGTTACCAATTAGTCATTTTTCTCTATGTAATTTTTCTCATTTTCAATTTTAAAGCAGTTTAATTCAGGATATATTGCACTGTCCAGACAAAATGGATCAGGTGGTATCCGCGTCGACAAGAATAGAAAATATGACGTATATTCCGCATAGAGATGCCTTTTTGAAAGTGTGCGATTTCAAAGGGAAAGAGCTCTTTAAATTGGTGAGTCAGGTGACTTTGATTTACCTGTGACTCTCGCCATACTTTCGGAAGCATTCGCGATCACAAAATCCGATATCAGTGATAAGGGCAGCCGGCCGCATCCGCAAACTATGGCAAAAGTTCGAGTTATTGGGTGACTTTCTCAATAACATGGAATTGCTTCAGATAATGGAAGATCTACATAAGTTGGAATGGAAGGTGGAGCGGTTCTGGGGCTGGTCAAATATGACAGCAGCTCTCAATCAAGAAGTGGAAGACTTGTCTAACAACGTATAAAATGGCCTATATTTGAACATTGTTTCTAAATGTAAAAACGAAGGCTTGTTGTGTTTTCAGATTGCCGCGGAACTGAAGAAGTTCTACTTCAGTCACGATGTCAATGAATTTCTCAGTACGAAACTATACAGCCTCAAGGAAAAGCTTTTACGACGGGTAGATGACGAACGAGACAGTACACCATTGTCATTACGCCAGTAATTTTTTTTATTTCGACAGATCCCAAAGGATGCATAGGTCTTCTTCGCATAGCTATGTATGTATAATTTTGAACGATTAGTAGATCTAGTTACTGCATCGTTAGATCTGTTCGATCCTCGAGAGCATCGAGCACACGAGCTGCTGTCCACAGACTTTTGTAATGATGAAAAGGTTTTGGAGGCTTATGCCAAGCGCGTTTCACTATTTTCACTCCGTTCTACAGCCCTATATATACGGGGTGTCCCAAAGTTATGGGCCGTTTCATGGCACTATATAAAGCTTCTCAGCTGAGAATGACAAATTATATGCACTTTGCTACCATTATGTGCTACAACATGCCACAATCACATTTCAAAATGACCCCCATGAACGCGGGTAGAGGCTCAAAGTTTGCTCTGGAACTCCTCGCGTATTGCACGCAGGTATCCATCCTCCGTTTCTTTTCAGAACATCTTGAGCCATGCTTTCTGTAACTCCAAACTGGGACTGTGAATCCGACATGTCCTCTTCTAATCAGGGACCACATGGACGAGTCAAATGAGTTAAGATCTGTGAAGCGGAACGGCCATTCCTCTTTGCTAATGAAGACGGGCAGCTAGAGTCGGCACCGCTAGCGAGGGATCTTGCATCTGCAGGCCGGAGTCCCGTCCTGCTGAGAGGACTACGAGCTGTTTGAGAAGGCGGAATCGGATCAGCGTTCAATTACGTCCATCAGGACGCCCTTTGAGTGCAGGTCTTGTCATTCTTCGTTACCGGCGAAAGCAGGGCTTCTTAACCTTGCCAGTGGCTCCCTCAAAAAAAAACATCGCTTTGTTATTCTTGTTGCTCCATTTTAATAGTCCTATCTTTAGAAACACTAGCTTTTCTAATCTTTCCTGGTTTGTCTTTGATTGAATCTTCTTCTCTATATCTTCTAAAAGCCTTCAGTACGGATGCTATATAAATCATAAGAAGTTTCATAATGCCCTTCCGCCTCTCGCATGCCATTAACTGCAAGTGGAATTGAATGAGCCTCCACCATCTAAAAGATGTCGAGAGTTTCACTTCAGTAACCATGCATACTGCAAAAAACCTACTCATGCATGCAACTAATTAACAGCGAGTTAAGTGTGTTTGATAAATTGTCTTTACTTATAAGTTTCGAATTTTGGCGCCCATAACTTTGCGACACCCTGAACATATCTGGAAGTTTGTTGAATATGCATAGATGACGTCCAATCGCACAAAATGCATTACTTTTGTTGTTATTCTATAATTGAAAANAAAATTGGTAATTTCTGCTTTTTTATATCCTTTATATGTTACTTATTTTATCGTACACGGAACGGATTCTGCCTTCCGAACCTTTGATATGATTCTGTTTGAAGAGGAAATGGGTGGGGGATAGAGTGCATGAGAATGAATGAAGTGAGTGCTATTCCAAAGTTTCTAAAAACCTTTTGTTATAATCAGTACTTAGCCTACTGGAGAGCCTCATGCTTCCTGCTTTCAAGGCGCTTCTGCGGTGCGATTTTCTTCGGTGGGAATAACTTTCAATATCTTCGTCTAAGTTTTTCAACACGGTTTAGAGCACTGGAAGAGATATTCGACTATCTTCGAGTTTAAATAGGCATAACGTCGCCTGGACTTTGCAGACGACGTCATGCTTATTTATATTTGGGCACACTTAATGAATGCTAATCGAATCGATGCTTGTGGAGAGATCGTTTACATTTCAATGTAACCGAAGCGATATGCAAACGAACGAACGAAGGCGATGTGAAATGGAATTGTTTTTGATGCTCTATCTTTGAAAGTAATGAGTACGTTAAACAGCTGCAGGCTCTGAATCGGGTCACCGGCACGGTGAACGATCCAACTTCAAAGTTTAGCAGAGTGGCATGTTGAGCATTCAATAACATCGAGGGTGCAGCGAAGAAGAAAATAATATCACGGCTTCGCACTGTTTTTCCTCTTTTGCTAAAGCTCCTGTCTTGGTTTACGCCTCGGTGATTCGTGCTCTGCGCGAGCAGGATGAGCATGCAAACCCGTCTTTAAGGCAAAGATCACGATGAAAATGGTCTCCCAGATTTCTCCGTGGGATGAACCTGTGTCTCTTCAGCAATGCACAAGGGGCGCTCTCGAGAAACGGCCTAGATATAACGTAATAAGAGTCCAGAACCGGTTTAGCTGACTTACACATCCTTGGCGGACGAGTTCTCTTGGCATTGTATAGGCTGTGTAGTTTGCACCATTCGTACCGGGACGCACACGTGTCAACAAGGCAGCTTATTGCAGCAAGCTTTACGCAATGACAGCTCGCCCAATTGTGCGTGTCATTGTGTACAGCTTTCATGCAACTTTCTTCGTCACAAACATTCTCACATTCTCGCCCAATCCCTAATTTTACCCCTTTCTTGAAGCCTTATATTCCTCTGAATACGCTCATTTTAGCCTTTCTTCCCCACCTTTGCTCTATTCACCTAAAGGCAATCTAAACTATATCAGCTCTACGCAATATCTCACTTCTGGCCTCCGTTTGAATACCCCTTCCTTTTCGTCATAGTCTTGTGCCTTCCACTTTTTTATCTTTTTTTTTGGAAATACTTTTCTGTAAGCCGTTTGCTTTCTTCATCACTTTTGCACTATTCTGCACCTTCTGTATCTTCTACTACTTCGCTTGAACTAGGTATCCCAAATTTTTCGTGAACTGTGACTTCAATTTTCAAGTTGGCACATTCATAGTGCGACTGACGACCGGCGATGATATCGACGTCGGCGCGAGTCGTCAGTCGATACCTAGGAAATCGAAAAGTGAAACTTGTGTTAATTAGGTAATAAGTAGTTTTTTGTTAGTTAATCACTTCTTCACATTTATTTTTCTCCTTGTTTCATTTGTAAAACTCGTTTCTTCCTGTCATTTGTGGTTTTTATTGTTTAGTATAACTTTCACGCTAATATAATTGTTTTTTGCCAATCCCATTCACCAATGAGCCTCGGGGTTGACAAAAAACGAAGTGGTTCGTCTGAGTGAAAGGACGAAACGAACCACTAAGTAATTTTTTGATATTTCTTGTTTTTACTCATATTGTCCCTTTCTAATTATATCTTGGTATATGGGAATGTACGACTCAAAGTCATGGGGTTGTAGCAGGCGCTAAATCTGAGATGGTTTGTTTATTTACAGCTAGGACGCATGATGATGTGGTGGTAGGTGGGGAGCTGGTAAGTAGTCAATAATATACGCCTAAACCAACCAAGCCTTCCATCCCGACGGGGTCCGTTAAATGGTACAAGACTCATCTGTGAGGAAAGAAGCACTGAATGGTATATTGGCTGGCCACCGCAAGTCATTGTATAGGCCGCATAAGCACTCATTACGCCGCCATTATTTTGAATCTCAGATGGGTTGGTTAACGCTCCATGACGTTATACTTGAAAACGTATTGCAAGAGTAAGGCAAGAGTAAACCAGGGTAAGTGGACGACTAGCACAATCCCGAAATGTTAATCAGAAGATAGTGCATCACGTGGGAGACACAAAAAAGGCTACACATCAATGTGGAACACGCATGCATAAGTCTTACTCTTTTTCTCTTCGAGATAAGATTCTCTTCCATTCTGCTATGACACGAAATTAAGAGACGTGAAACTTACCTTCTCCATTGCATCGCGAAACGTAATTTTTACACAAATCTTCCCTTTTTATCCGTTCTGCTATAAGTACTCTGCAGAATGAGTCGTCAACTTGCGGGGATCGAGACGAGCAGTACTGACGTAGATGTCGTCGTTGGAACGCTGGTACTATGAATGCGCTCAGTGGAAGATTCCTTAAAAACCTTTGCCGCTGCTATAAGGATTCCGGTGTAAGAAGGGTCCCATCTTATCATTGTTCTATTTGCAGAACCAGACTATTTTTTTTTCGTTTTAACTGCCTTTAGAATCAATACATATGCACAGTTTTTTTGTTTTTTTTTAAGTCGCGGGGGTAATGTTTATTAGTATTCCGTCCCCTACTTGGCTTGTATTTGAATGTCCATCATTGATTTGTTTAATCAGCTTCAGTTTCATTTTAGTCGAATAATGGCTGCGACATAAAAGCTCAAACGGCTGTTCATGCAGGATCCTCCAACCCTAAAATTTCCGTTCCTAGGCACGAGTAACCGTCCACTATGTATGTGTTTTACCCGGGTGGCATGACTTCTCCCCGAATTCCCACGACCAGCGGCAGCGGTTCCGCGGCGACTGCCGTATCCTACCACTGGGAATTCAACTCTCTCCCGTTATAGCGCGGGATCGCGTGCGGCGAGCG